ATTGCGACTTTATTCCGTTGTAATACGGAACGTTTGACAATTTATTGTCGCGTGATATTGAACCGTATATCTTTTGGATTTGGGGTCACGGATTGTGGACCCGAATTGGTATTTAGATGACGTCATCTTTTGATTACAGGAGTTTTCTTTTCAGGATAATGACGTTACATGACTTGTTGGAAGCGTTTTGAAACAGTATTTAGAAGAAATTAATATTAAAGAAGTTTCTATAAATGCAGCTCTTTAAGCTACACTAACTAACCGGCGAAGTTCGTACCACTATTTTTATCAGGTTGGTCCAGCAGTTTCGGAGTCAACAATTTCAATTCAATACAACCAAAAAAAAAAAACAAATCCTACCTCTTTATAAATTAGTTTCAATAAATTTTGTAGTATCTTAATTCTGTTTCATCATCATCATTTCAGCCATAGGACGTCCACTGCTGAACATAGGCCTCCCCCAATGACTTCCACATCGCACGGTTGGTAGCGGCCTGCATCCAGCACCTTCCTGCTAACTTTATCAGGTCGTCAGTCCACCTTGTGGGTGGACGTCCCACGCTGCGTTTTCCGGTACGTGGCCTCCACTTCAGAACCTTTTAATTCGGTTTAGTAAATATTATTTTCGTGTTCGAAAACGTGTTCTCTGATGTAGTAGAAACTATACAAAGTAATGAAATGGAAATAAACCCACATTAGAGCGATGAAAAACAAACGTCGGATGTAAACACTGGTAATAAAATCATTCGTGTCCATTACTAAAGTGGGATTAACCACGTAATGGTAATAACTGTAGCCATTAGACAATTAAAACGATATGTAGGTAATATCAAATGACAATTTCGCGAGAGCATTACTTATTTAAGGGATAGGAGGAAAGATTTCACGTTATTTTCCTACATAATTATTATTACTGACGGGATTGCTACCATGTACCTTAATTTTGAGTTTCCGATATTTCGGTACTGTCGCAAGCGCCATGGTCACGGAGTAACTGAGAAAACTTGCGGCGAACTTCAGTCCGTGACCATGGCGCTTGCGACAGTGCCGAAATATCGGAAACTCAAAATTAAGGTACATGGTTGCAATCCCGTCAGTAATAATAATTATGATAGTGACCATGAAAATTTAAAACAATAATATTTTCCTACATTTTACAATAAAGTGGATCGTACACTTTTATTACTTACTTAACATGCTTACGAATTTAATAAAACCTCAATTATTTGTAGGTACCCCAAGTCTTGTACAGATCAGATCCCCATCAAACATCACGAAGTCTCAGTTATTTTGCTGAGTTCTTGTGAATAATCTTCTCTTTTATAAGAATAACATTATAACAATAAATAGTAAGGTCTAAAACCTGTGTAATTAAAATCAATAAATAAATAAATTAAACTAGCGGCCGCCCGCGACTTCGTACGCGTGGATTCCGTTTTACCCCCTTCATCTATCTTACGTGGTTTAGATTTTTTCATATAAATGTTCCCGCTAACTCCCGTTCCCGTAAGAATTTTGCAATATCCTGTTGTAACTAAGGTACCTGCATGCCAAATTTCAAGCGTCTAACTTAAGCGGTTTAGATTTTTCATACAAAAGGATTTTCCCGCTAATTCCCGTTTTGGTGGGAATTTCAGGAATTCCTAGTGCACCTCTACGGTACCTAAGCTACGTCCCTTCCAAATTTCGTTGCCTACGTTTAGCCGTTTAGGCTGTGCGTTGATATGTCAGTGAGTCAGTCAGTCAGTTTCTCCTTTTATATATTTAGATAACAATCTAACTGGGAAAAACAGATGTGTAGATTTTTTGGAATCGTAGGTCGATTCACACAAGACTAGGTGAACCACCGACTGGCCGATAGTTGGGTCGAACTGTTAATCAGTATGGAGATGTATGAAAGTGCGCACATTACACCGACCTGCAATCGTCCGATTCTTAATACAAATTAGAGTCGAACCCAACTATCGACCAACTAAAAGTCGGTAGTCTGCGCCTAAGCTTAAGATGTGTTTCTTTTACCTGAATCGACCTACGATGAAGTTCTTGAGTGTTATTAACTATCATGTAAAATGTATGAAGTCTATCTCTCTGACTGTATTAGGTCAATCTATTAATAAGTGGTCACTTCTAATGGCACCCTCATACGAGTACCTAGCTATAGTCCCTCCTGAGCTTGCTAATTCGGAATTAATTGCACAGTGCATCAAGGCAAACCCTGCCATATTTTTTAGTTGCAATAAGGTTGATTTTCCAAAAAAAATGTATAGTCTAAGGGCCAGTACATCCAGGTAAGCTCTAGCTTTTTATAATAGCATTAAGGTTGCTTTTTCAACAAAAAATATAGTTTATGTTGTATGTATAAACGTGAGAACGAGCTGCTTTCAGCCATATGGAAATAATAATTGGCTATTAACTAAATACTGCTTGAATAGCGTACGCTGAATAATGCAATTATTCCTTTAAAAGGCAGTGGGAATATAGTTCCCACCATATTTTGAGCCTTATTTGCTTGTCTTAAGGCCCAAAAACAATGAAATTTTGTTGTGACTGTTAAAGGGACTAGTCCATTTTAAGCTTTTATGGGGCATAGCAATTATTCAGTGTTTTCAACGTTATGACAAGTCTATACGTACTTACTTTGCTAATATTATTCGTAAAGAGGAAAGATTTGTATTTTTGTATGTTTGTAATCAGGTCGTCGGTCCATCTCGTGAGTGGACGTCTCACGCTGCGTTTTCCGGTACGCGGCCTCCATTCCAGAACCTTGCTATCCCATCGACGACCTGATAAAGGTAGCAGGAAGGCGCTGGATGCAAGCCGCTACCAACCGTGCGATGTGAAAGTCATTGGGGGAGGCCTATCAATGTTCAGCAGTGGACGTCATATGGCTGAAATGATGATGATGATGATGATGTTTGTAATGAATAAACTCAAAAACTACTGAACTGTCACCTATATTTATAGGTATTTCCAGTACAAAAATATTGTGTTTTTCAATTATATTTATTTGTCTAAGTGGGTACTCTACAATTTAATAAGTAGTGGACCTGTAACCAACGTTATGATACCCTACATACTGTGGGTCACACATAATGCTGAGCGAGGTCCTGTTACGACGAGAATCGCAATTGCTGGGTGGGTGGGGCAGCTCGGAGCATATTGTTATAGTAATTTTGGTGACATGCCCCGTTGTTTTACCTTGAATATTAAGATAATGTATTATAGTTGGCTTTTCATGTCATATAGGAATCAAAGAAAAACCGTTTCTTTCTTTTTTATATTTTAATACTCGAACTAAAATAATCTAGTTCACAGCTGGACCAAGAAGCGCCACATTCAGTTCTCTCAGCTCTATATTCTTTCATTCATGAGCTTTACTTTACTTAGCTATTTTTAAGGGTTGGTACTTCCAGCAGGGTAATCATCACTCGGAAGTCGTTTACTTCACCCTTCGTCAGTTCTACAGTTATGAACTTTTGCATTTTATATTTTTGAACCATAATATTCTTGATAATTATTATCTTATTGGGCTAAATTGCTGATGACTTTACACCTAAAAGTCATTTCCTAAATTAAAATTTAACATAATTATAACACAACCACCAAACCTCGATAGCATAAAACGATATTGCATTGATTTCATGTTGAGTACGCGATATTCAATAAAGTCCCGACTAAGCGCACATTCGGGCAATTTTCAGAATGCTGGAGGCGTTTCTACAGGTGGTTACAGTGAAAATTCAGCGGTTACTTGATTTTGCTTCGTCATGTAATGGAATTGGACTAAGTAGGTTTTCTTTTGGGCAGTAATAAGACTTGAAAAGCTTATAATTCACAAACCCGTCTAGCCAGTGTGGAGCGAAGCGCTGGTAGGGTACAGAGACATGTAGAGGCTCCTTAAGAGCAAAATATTTGACGGTTAGTTAGTACTATTTAAAATAGTCTATACAAATAAAGAATTTTTGACTTTGACTTTGGAGAGTGTAGGTGAAATCCTCCATTCTCTCCATTAGATAGAGTCGTGTGTGCTCCTTTAGTGGAGACCAAATTACCTAAAGATGCTTGATGCTGATGATGAAAAACCTTTAGGTACGTAGTTGTATAAGGAAAATATGAAGTGAACATGTACCGGGCTTTCAGTAAGTTCAAGTAATAAACTAGCCTGTATTTGTAAGGAGTATGGAAGCCATGTCATTGACAGGTTTAAAAGAGGAGGGAAAAAGATAGAGAGCCAATAAAATGAAATAATTTCAAGCCGAAAACCTTCTGGAAGGTATATCTTCACTGTATAAGTTAGAGGTGTCACGTGAAATGTAAGTAAGAGCAGTAAAAGCACAAATTACATTCTAGGCAAGAAGGGGAAAGACAAGATGGGATAAGGCTAAGGGCACACGAGAATGCTTTCGGCTTGATTGAGGGTAATGTAATAAAGACTTCCACCCACCTGATGCTGTACAAATGACCTATGACCTTATGTGTTAATAACGGGGTTATTTATCAAGACACTGCTTCTAGCTGTTTAATATTTTAGTCGAATAATAAATACTTGAATGATAAAAAGCCTTTGTGGATTTTATCAAAAGTGGGTGTGTGATTCCATAAAATAATATATTCTGCTTAGAATTACTTTGCTTTTTGGTACGAAACGTAAAGATTTTTGTTAATTACTATTAGATGTTTTAAATTTTAGTTTCGTATGACTGTACCGATTTTGGCCTAAATAATATATTTTTCTAAGTTAAGTGGTCCCAGTTTCCGATTATTTTTTGCGGATCCGGCAACTGGGACCGCAATTAACTTGGACCGCGGTTGGTTGGAAGCCTCGTTTTGCAAAATTCATACACTTTTTTTAATATTGAAAATGACCAATGGTCAACCAGCTTACATTCGCGAAATTGAATAAAATGTAACTCAGAGATAGCAGTCGAAACACTTGCTTTTTTCAATTATTTGTAAACAATACTTAATAATAATAATAATAATAAATCTTTATTTGCCAGTAAACATGGTATACAAAGATGGAATATTCATAGTGTTTCAGACATGTTTAGCCAGAGAATCAAGCATGCAAATTATAGTAAAGAAAACTCAAAACAATGCTCAAAGTTTAGCCGGGCCTTACAGTTAATAATTCTTTAATGTCATAGAAGTTCTGTGAGACAAGCCAATTATAAAAATGCGCTTGAAAACGTTTTACTTTCATCTAGCCACTAAAGTTAACTAATTTTGTTACTAATGAATTTTATTATAAAACAACATATAAAAATCAAAACTTTACCCATGAGAAACCATACAAGATCCCATCAAAAGTACAAAGCTTACAGCTCTGAGTACCAGGGCTGCAAAGACAGCAGGGCAGTCGGATCTAGCACAGCACAAGTGACACACCAGCCAGTCCAGGCTCTGCTTCTCCGCTAGAAGTACCAGGAGACCATCGGCGTTGCGAAGTACGTAGTCTTGGACGAACTTCCACACGTAGGTCAGGGAACATTCTAGGATGGCTACTGTTGTGATTACCTGGGGAAAATTATGGGTAAATAATGCCAGGGTGTGGTCATGAGATAGATTCAGAAGAACTGGTAAAAATACTTGGAGATTTTGTATAAATAGCTATTGCCTCATTTTGTTAGCAAGTCGGGCGCCAAATAAATGGACCCTGTTTTCTGGATGATGGATGATATTATAATTTATTTAGGAAAGAACCGATATAAGTTGCGCTTAGTCATCATCATCATTTCAGCCATAGGACGTCCATAGCTGAACATAGGCCTTCCCCAATGCTTTCCATGTTGCCCGGTTGGTAGCGACCTGCGTCCAGCGCCTTCCTGCTACCTTTATGAGGGCGTCGGTCCACGTGGGTGGACGTCCCACGCAGCGTTTTTCGGCACATTGCGCCTAGTGACAGTTAGTTATTACGGTTATTTTAGGACCAGATGGCACAGTGTAATATCAGTTAAAATTTTACACCCAGATTTTAAAAATCCTTTTCAAGAAAATGGATGTTTTACTTACTTCCAATAAAAAGCAAATCGGCGAATATTTCCTCCAGAAAACTCTTGGGAAAATGTTCACTTTTCTTAGCAGCAAGCAGACACTTAGAAGGTAAACCAAGTTTGATGCCAAATACTTGTCTTTTAGGATTTGAACTGTAATAAAAATCTTACTTAAAAAGCAATAAAAAGAGGAATATTGTCTATTTGATTCATACCGAGTAGATAAGTTTATATTAGTACATTAAATTTGAAGCAAAAACATGAATGTTTAATATCCATAACTTGACTAATGACAGGTTTCCTTTCATACAATAGGTACTTTTACTACTCTACAAGCGATAACACATCACACTATAAAATGCTGTTATATTGCATTATTGCAAAAAATACACCCTGTGCCATGATAAGCTGACTGGACGAGGTCTGATATGAGTCGAGGAATGCGCCTGGATGCGAGCAGTACCTACGGGAGCAGTCGTTTTGAAATTTTTAATGAAAGCCTTCGCTTTGTCCAGCAGTGGACTGCATTTGGTTGAGGAGACGACGTTGCCACAGTGTTTATCCTGATATACCTACTTACGCTACTATCTACCATCGCCTTATAAATTGTCACACTTACCATTGTACAATAACGTGAACTCATTTACTATCAATGATAGAGCTAAAACTAGAGAAGCTATTTTTGTCATCTCATTTTGTTTCCGTAATTGATGTGTTTCAATATGCTGCACAAAAAAACGTTTTCGACACTGTTTGTTTATAAAAATTTGACAAAACCAATATTAAAAGTCCACAGACACTATTTCTGTGACAGTTGTAAGTTGTTCTAAGAAAAGACTAAAAAGTTTTTAATAAATCTTTATTACCTTTGTCAACATTGGTATAATAGTCCATATTATTATAAAATTCATTGATCGAGTTACCTAATGTTTAAGTTTGATATTGCAACGAATTAATTATTAGGTGATTTAGTATGCTGCAGAAGCATGACCACCTCTTACCAAAGCCAAAATGCAGCTCAGAAATAACGTGCTAAGTTTCCGCTCTTCAAAATTTGGGTCAGATTATCCTGAAACAAAAGTTTGCTTCATCGTAAAAACAACGCATATTTTCTAATACCAACTGAATAACTGAGAATGTGTTCATTCCAACTCCGAACAAACAAAACTACAGATAAGAACACAATACAACCAAGAAACCGTTAGAATGAAGCCGATCAGGTTTACGACGAAATCGTCTATAAAAATGCTATAAAAATTCTTTATCGGAAAGTTCCAACATTGGAATAAAAGGAACTCGCGTGTACAGTAGATACGATACAATGAACGTATTAATACTAAGATGAACCCAAAATGTTTACAAGAAAACTACACATGTACCAGATAGTTATTATAGTGATAGTAAATATTGTGATAGTAAATGATGTTTTGTGTATCGAATTTATACAGCTTGGAGACTCAGGGGGATTTGAAGAAAGCCCTGTAGGGAAGCAGTACGAATCAATTTATCAGAAAGATGAACCTGAATTTTTGATTGAAGATAAAGTGCCTATTATAAGAGAAGGATTTAATTATGATAGTAAAGAGGACGACGATATAAAAACTTTGCTAGAAGAGAAGTATAAGTTCAAGAATGATGAGATGTCCACGAGGTATAGGATATCGAATGATGAAGGGGGGTATCCAGGTTTGTGATGATAATTTTCAAACTAATTTCATCATTAAAATAAGCCTTACCATTTTAATGGGTAGAACTGAAGGGAAGAAGTGACAGAGATATGGATTGTGTAAATTGATCATAACTGATAGAATCTAAGACGTACCTAAACGTGGTCTTTTTTTAAGTCTAGATAAAGAGAAAGTAAGAGTAAAAATCAAGCTTCTTTACATCTTAATCCTTATTGTTAAATTTAATTAAATTGTTATTATCTTCAAAGCTCAAAATAACTGAGGGCAAATTCACACTCAGCCCACAGAACATTTTCTCAGAATCCTAAATTCCAATATTGTCACACTCCAGACGATCGTAACATAGCGTGGGCCTTCCGTTCCTACGCCGTCCGTCGAATCGTTGGTGGCATGGAGACCAGCATCAGCATGTATCCCTACAACGTGGCCATCTCCAGAAATGGCAAGCACTGGTGCGGGGGCTCCATCATCGATGAGCAGTGGGTGCTGACTGCGGGACATTGTCTGGAGTCGTAAGTTCTAGTTCTATTCAGGTTACGGCATGGAGATCACGCTGCCGAAGCCGAAGGTGGACTGGACGAGAATTCTTTAGTGGTCGCCTAATGTTCAAAATTTGGCCTTAAAGTTTTCAATAAATAAATAAGCATGCACCTATTCGTACTATGTGGTCATCTCCAGAAACGGGCAGCAAGTCAAATTAAAAAATCAAGGTGCGGAGGCCGGTCCTTTAGGAAGAAGTTCCAGGACGCTTATCAAGCTAATAAATGGATTTTGATTTTGATTAAATAATAAATAAAATAAATAAATAAATAAATATCCTTGGACATTTTACACTGCGCTTCTAGTCCCAAACTAAGCAAAGCTTGTACTATGGGTACTAGACAACGGATATAAACATACTTAAATACTTTTTTTTTTGTAAATACATACTTATTATACATAGAAAACACCCAGTCCAATACAAACAAATATGTTCATGCACACAAATGTTTGTACTGTGCGGGAATCGAACCCGCTACCTCCGGAATAGTTGTCCGTTTCGAACCACTACACCAAGCGGCCGATTTGATTTGATTTAGAAATATAGATACGATCATTATAATTACTTAATACACTCTCATTATCACCGGTTCCTCTTCAATAAATCATTAACTTTTGCAGGGCCTACGATGGAGACAAGAAGAAACTCCAGCCCTTCATAGTAAGAGCTGGAAGCTCCTTTCACAATAGAGGTGGATACCAAGCTAGAGTAAATAAGGTGAAATATCAAACAAAGCCCAAATTGTTGCAAACAAATTCGTATAGGTCTTTTAATACAAGAGTTACTAACGCCCGTATTCACAAACAATACTATGAGGTCTCACAGTGCGCATGGACGCACAGGGTGACACACGAACCAATCACTAAGCTCTATTCAACGCTATGCGTTCGATTTGCTGCATCGCTTGTGAACACGCGCGTAAGAGTTATTTGCAACAACTATTTTTATTATTTACCAGGTCTTCTTCCCAAAACACTACTCGCCAGGCAGCGCCGACTTCGACTACTCGTTGTTGCGACTCGATAGACCGATGCCTATAGGTCGCAACATAGCTGTGCTGAATCTGCCTTCGAAGGACTACGTGGTGAAGGAGGAGGATATCCTGATTGTGACTGGATGGGGGAGTACAGATGTAAATATGTATATTATTTCTAGAGAGTTGGTCATATAATAAAGTCATAGATATTTTTTTGTTGACAGGAAACCGAATTCGACCGTAATGAAAATAACTCACAGAAATTAAGATATAACTACTTCCAGACTTAATAAGAGCTAGTGTTTAGTTTGGCATAGCAGTAATCAACGTCGATGGTAGCTTTTCATTAAAACTCTGATCTTTTAAAAATCTAAGGTGGAATTGTGTAAAGCAATCGTAATCATTTGACAGTTCATAACGTACGATAAAGTCAGTTAAACAAAGCGTTTGACAGAATAATCGTACGTTATGAACTGTCAAATGATAACGATTGCTTTACACAATTCCACCTCTGATTTCTCTACAGATAACCTTCTTTTCGCAGATAGAGCAAAGATGCCCGATACAAACTTTTTTTAGTCTCACCCAGCTGAAATCATTCCTGTATCTTTGAAAAAGGTAGTTAATTTAATTATTATTCCAGGAGTCTGGTTTCGGCCACATCCCGGACCGGCTCCGATTCGTGCCGGTTCCGGTGATGGTGATCGACGACTGCCAGAAGTCCTACCGGTTCTACATCACGCCGCGGATGATGTGTGCCGGGTACGCGACGGGAGGGAAGGACGCTTGTAATGTGTGTACATGTGAATTCATCATCATCATCATCATCATCATCATCATCATCATCATCATCATCATCATCATCATCATCATCATCATCATCATCATCATCATCATCATCGTCGTTGTTATCCCTTTCAGACCTGGCGTCCACAATTGTAGACATAAAATATAAATCAAAATTATGAACTTAACACTGTACATTTGAAACTTAAAACGGTTGTCTTCATTTGTTCACATAATAAACTACCTAATTCAGTACTTTTAACGCCATCTCTCATGGTATAATAGCACTAATTGACAAGTTTCAACCAGTGCCCGAGCGTGATTTGAACTGTGCAGGTGAGCTCTTTATTTTATTTCGAAAAAATATGAAATAGTAACAGAGATCTTCTGTAATAAATACTAGCGTGTATTTATTATTACAAGGGACACGTGGAACATACAATTTGTGTATTTTGTGTTGTCTTTGTATTACTAATCTCGAGTTTTAGATTTGTACTCAAATGATCCCATCAGGAGGCAACTGAGCATTTTGAAATTGTTCCAAGTGATAACGGTTTTATTGTAAATTCTTTTTTTTTTCAACTTTTTTATTGTTCAAAAATACATTTATGTCAGAAATAATATAATATATTTATGTTATGTATTAAATAATTATTTAAATCATTTTTTTATATCCAGATAATATACTGTCAAAATGTTCTCACCAGAGGCCTTGAGAACACTTGATGACGGAAATCTTTCGGATTTTCTGCTATCTTCAGATGACTAAGAGAAATTTGGAGAAGCCATTGATCTATTCCTCGAAATTATTGACAGTATGTCTACCTCGGACAAACGATTCAGCTAGGTAGGTCCAATTTCTAGAAAGAGGTCATTCGTCGAATCCAACTCGGCTGGGCAGCGTTCGAGCAATTACGCAACATCTTTTCGTCCAAAATACCTCAGTGCCTGAAGACTAAAGTGTAGGTACAACCAATGTGTGTTACCATTAACGACTTATGGTTCGGAAACGTGGCCTCTCACTATAGGCCTTATACAGAAGCTCAAAGAGGCACAGCGTGCTATGGATAGGGCTATGCTCGGTGTTTCTTTACGAGATCGAATCAGAAATGAAGAGATCCGTAAATGAACTAAAGTCGCTGACTAGCCCGACCGATTAGCACGCTGAATGTGCAATGGGCAAGGCACATAGTACGCAGAACTGACGGCCGAAGGGGCAGCAACGTTCTGGAGTGGAGGCTGTGTACCGGAACAACGCAGCGTGGTACGTCCACCCACAAGGTGGACCGACGACATCATAAAGGAAGCAGGAAAGCGCTGGACGCAGGCCGCTACCAACCGAGCAACATGGAAACCATTGGGGGAGTCTTATAGGACTTTATTCCTATCCTGTATTCAGCAGTGGATGTCCTATGGCTGAGATGATGATATGATGATGATGATGATGAAAGAAGATATTTAATTTTGTTATTTAGATAAAAAAATGATTTTTTTTATAAAAACTGACCCGGCGAACTTCGTACCGCCTTAGCGTAGAGATTTTCTTAATATTTTTTTCCGTAAGAACCATCCTTGGACTTCCACTAACATTTAAAAAAAAGAATTATCGAAATCGGTTCAGCCGTTCACACGTGATGCCGTGACAACGCGAAACGGGTTTCATTTTTATATATATAGACTAATTAAAAAGTGTTCCATAAAAGTAAGTTCTATCATTTCAATAACACTGTTAATCCTATAAGTTTTTTTCACGTAAGACGGATGGCCACATTTGTAGACATAAAAAGAAAATGCATTTTCTCGAAAAGTATAACACTAGGATTTTTTTCATTATTTTTTTCTTACATACCTTACTATACTTTAGTTGCATAAATTTTACTAAATTGATCGGGTGAAAAAAAATAATTCAGGTCTGAAAGGGTTATTGTCATCTTCATTATTTTCATCATCATCAACAACAACAGAATAATCATTCAACTGTTGAACATTCACTGCTGAACTTACATGATTATGTTAGACCGTTCCTTTGTTTAGAGTTTATGAGCCGGTTGCTCATACCTACTTATGTATGTAAAACATGTACCTATGAGTTTAAAATGAAAAAAGCTATAATAGACTAAATTATTTTCAACCGAAAGACGTCCACTGCTAAAGCCCGGTCTGTGAGCACCTACAATTTTGTCCAATGACCCCAAGCTACCCATCCTTATCGCTCGCGCGTAATTATATTGCTCTCGCGACTGTGCGACGGGCGCCCGCAGTGAGTGTGCGAGCGCGACAGCAACATAATTACGCGCGAGCGATAAGGATGGGTAGCTGGGGGTCATTGGACAAAATTGTACGTGCTCCCAGACCAGATTATAGACAAAGGCATTTTCAAAAGATTTTCATAGTTCATAACTATCGACCGAACATGGAAGAGACCTGCCTACTACAATTATGGTTCCTTAATCACCACTCGATGGTGCCTTTATTCGCCAGCATGGCCCTTTGTGAAGAGGAGCCATTAGATCTACTTAATATCATCATCATATTATCAGCCACATTACGTCCACTGCTGAACATAGGCCTCCCCCAATGACTTCCACATCGCACGGTCGGTAGCGGCCTGCATCCAGCGCCTTCCTGCTACCTTTATCAGGTCGTCGGTCCACCTACTCATTTGTGCCTTCTACACCTACTCTACTTACTTGGGTTTAATAAAAAAAGTGTTTTTTCAGCATGACTCAGGAGGACCAGCGGTCCGCGATGGGGTCCTTCTAGGCATAGTCTCCTTCGGCGGCAAGCAGTGCGGAGACCCGCGGTCTCCTGGCGTGTACAGCCGGGTCTCTGAGGTCACGGACTGGGTGGAAGAGACCATAACCAAGAACGAGGCTCAGAACGTGCCTGAACTGCAGGCGAAGATAAAAAAAGCGAGGATGAGGGAGAGGGAACTGCAGAAGTGAGTTCATCATCATCATCATCATCTTAGCCATAGGACGTCCACTGCTGAACATAGGCCTCTCCCAATGCTTTCCATGTTTCCCGGTTGGTAGCGGCCTGCGTCCAGCGCTTTCCTGCTACTTTTATGATGCCGTCGGTCTGAAGTCCAGTTACTTGTTACATAACTATGGTAGTTAATGGATTTTTCAGTTTTGGTAGGAAGAGAAGTACCTCCCCAACCCGTCTGGTAAATTAGAAAAGGTCTTGCTCCTGCAGTGGTGACTAAATGAGCGATGATGATGGAGAAGAGAAGTAAAATAATCAACATACCTCCAGCGAATTGGTGAAAAATAAAATTTTATAATCGTTCGTTCGTTCGTTTCAGCCGAAAGACGTCCACTGCTGGACAAAGGCCTCCCCCAAGGATTTCCACAAAGACCGGTCCTGCGCCGCTTGCATCCAGGTACTTCCCGCGACCTTCACCAGATCGTCGGTCCACCTAGCGGTCCACGTAGTCCACCAATATTTTATAATGCTGCATCATAAAATTCTCATTTGACATAAGCTATGACAATTTAACTGAAAGTCTCTACAATCTAATATCTCTGTACCTGTTGCTGATGGACGTTTTGGGTAAAACTGTAAGTCCACAGTGAATTAAATAATTATCTAGAAAGATATTTTATACCTAGGTCTAGGAGTTTCTGAGTGACCCCGAGTTGTAGGTATGGTTATTGGTTAGTACAGTAGTTTAATACAGTAATAGCCCCTCTACCAAATAGTAACTTTATAGACAGGAAGTTGTCATACACCGGATATGAGCTTAACCCTTCATTTGGCAAGACGTAAACTGTTTGATTTTTCAATAAAATCTATTTAGACCTAATTGTTACTATCAAATAAAGTTAAGAAAAATAATAAAAAAAATATTTGGTTGGTATTTTCGCGAAAAACGATTGTTGCTTATTTACAACATTGCCAAATAGGGGTACTTAAATAAAACATTGAGATATATTATATAATTAATTTTTTAATATGAAAATCTTAAAAAAATTAATCGTATTTCACATTTTATGCATTAAACTAGTTTTTGGCCATTTTCGCAAAGTCGACAACGACCTTTTTCTTCAACATTTGATAGATGACTCATGTCATCATACTTCACAATCATTATGCCGAGCTAAGATTGGCTTTTTGTTTTCTCTTTAGCTTCTGAAACTGGTATGTTACCGTTATCTGCTATAGTTGTTGACTTCAACACAAGAAAAATGTGTTTATCATTTAAATCAGTTCAGCTGAATAAGCGTGAAGAGAGACAACACAGAGACAGACAACAAATTCTTCCTCCCTCCTAAAATGCTGTGCCCGACAGGGTCCATAATTGCATCCAAAGTAATTACCATACCATCTCTGTAACATAATTCATGTAATACATGTTTGATTTATTGGGTATTGACACTCTTTTGTATTGACAAAAAGCTAAACCTATTTTGTTAGATGTTTGGCACTGTTGCTTCTAGGCAACATCGAGGTTCGGAAGCATGTCATGTATTAGAAAACACAGTTTCTACGCCAAATATTGCTTTATATGATTAGTTTGATTTAATATGAACAAAATTTAGACAAAACAAAAACAATTGGAGTTCATAAAATAGTATAAAATCATAAAACTTCCGTCTTTGTTATTGTCATTGCGCGTCATCTTGGTGTCTTACAGAAATATAGATATGAAATCAGTCCCAAACTCAGTCGACGACCGATTTACTAGTGTTTTGCTGAACTAAGCTTCGTAACAAAATCGAATAATTTGTACAAAACTTATTATTTGGTGCTGTAGAAATATTCAAAGTGGTTGTTGCTTAAAAGCATCACTGCCAAATGAAGGGTTAATATTAAACTTCCGACGTCACGTGGGCCTTTAAGCCCGTATTATGAAGTGACAACAAAATTGGTATGAATTTGAATAAACAATCACGAATAAATTCAAAGGAATCATGATTGTTGATCACTTCTGAGACAAGTGCCTGCTGTATGATTTTGAGTGATTTTGCAATGAAACAATGTGAGTGAATTTGCACATTATTAATTTTCAAAAGTGCCTGGACAGTAAACTTCCAAAGTTGCAGGAAAGGTGCTTTGAGGATGTGTTCCTGAACTTTCGTTGCTGACTACCTGTGCGAAGTTTTCGAGTCAAATTCTTGCGAAACATCACACTGTCTTGTTTAAATACAAACAAACCGGGCGATGTGGAAATCATTGGGGGAGGCCTATGTTTATCAGTGGCTGCCCTGTAAGTAGCTGAAATGATAATGAATTTCTTTTCAGATTCAAAGCTCGCGTAGAGGACAAGAAAAACAAAATCAAGAGCTGGCTCCGAGACACCCTCAAGTCGCCCACCTTCATCAAGCTGGCCAAGAAGAAGCTCAAGGAAGCCGGCTACCAGACCAGAAGGTTTCACGTGGTGGAGACCAACGCTAGTGCCCTGGATGACCAGGCCATGGATGAGATTAACCTGTCGAATTTGATACATGAAAGGATTATTGAAGGTATGGACAGTTTTTAGTTTTTCAGCCAGTGAAAGCAAATTGTAACAAATCTACACTAATATTATAAAGAGGAAAACTTTGTTTGTTTGTTTAGTTGTAATGGATAGGCTCAAAAACTACTGGACCGATTTTAAAAATTCTTTCACCATTCGAAAGCTACATAACTCACGAGTAACATAGGCTAAATTTTATTTTGGAAAACAATAGGGTCCCGTAAAATATTTGGGATTTTCATAAGACGTGGAAAAGCGCCATCTATCGTCATTGCTTAAAATCTTCTTGCGCCTGACAAAAATTTTTGAGGTACGTAAATATTCATGAAGGCAAAGCTGTCAAACGCCATCTATCGACATCATTAGTAAATTAGTAACTAAATATTACATGTACTATGAATAGCGCTGTTCGTAAATAATATTGAAAATTTAATAAATAAAGATATTTTATGTAATTGAACCATTCACTGTATGTACCTATTTGAATTATTCACTGTGTTTAAACGAGCAAGTCAAAGTGTTAATTAGTGACTTTTTACAAACTTCCTTGCAAATTCTTACTATGTGCCGCCATCTACCGAGATGAATATTAGGGTACGGTTCAGCGGCGGACAAATGGGATGGGCGCGTGGGCGATTGTAGTTAAATAGGATAAGAATTACTTCGTTTTTATTTTCTGTATGTAATTTGTTAGTTTTTTGGTAGGGTCTTTATTTTAATTACTTAGGTTGGTAGGTAGGTACTTACTTATTTGATTTTAATGATAATTACTATAGGTACGTATAATTTTAGTAGAAAGAAAGGTAATTGAATGACTAAGTGACTCACTCACTCATCACGAAGTCTCAGAAACTACAAGTCTCACTGGCTGATCAAAGCCAGGTGATCAAAGTGGAATACACCTCCTTTTAGAACGTAGGTAGTCACTAAGACGAAATTTTGCAAAATTCAATCTTTATGGGAGTTAAAAAGGGGGTTGGAAGTCTGTATTGCAGTCCTCGGTTTTTAAAGTAAGAGACTTGAAAGTTAAAATGTACGCTCACTATGATCTCTAGATATTGTGGAGGTGTACATAATATACTGTTCGGTACACTGTGGTACTGTGTACACATCGGTTTGCTGACGATATTGTGGTCATGGCAGAATCGTTGGAAGATCTTGGAACAATGCTCGAAGACCTTAATCGATTTTCCCAACAGGTAGGCGTGAGGGCGAACATGGACAAAACGAAGCTTATGTCGAATGTCCATGTTGCGCCCTACCCAGTTTCAGTTGGGAGCTCAATTCTCGAGATTGTCGACAAGTAGGTTTGTCTACCTTGGACAAACGATCCAGGTAGGTCCAATTTCGAGAAAGAGGTCAGTCGTCGAATCCAACTCGGCTGGGCAGCGTTCGGGAAACTACGCAACATCTTTTCGTCCAAAATACCTCAATGCCTGAAGACTAGAGTGTATAACCAATGTGTGTTACCAGTGATAACTTACGGCTCGGAAACGTGGCCTCTCACTATAGGCCGTATACAGAAGCTCAGTTGCACAGCGTGCTATGGAGAGGGCTATACTTGGTGTTTCTTTGCGAGATCGAATCAGAAATGAGGAGATCCGTAAACGAACCAAAGTCGCTGACATAGCCCAACGGATTAGCAAGCTGAAGTGGCAATGGGCAGGGCACATAGTACGCAGAACTGATGGCCGATGGGAGAGAATGGTTCTGGAATGGAGGCCGCGTACCGGAAAACGTAGTGTGGGACTTCCATCAACAAGGTGGACCGCCGACATCGTAAAGGTAGCAGGGAAGCGCTGGACGCAGGCCGCTTCCAATCGATCAACATGGAAAGCATTGGGGGAGGCCTATTTTCAGCAGTGGACGTCCTATGGCTGAAATGGTGGTGGTGGTGGTGGTACATATACTGAAAATGTATCATTAGAAATCAACCACGGGGGCTAAGGAGATAAAAGGAGGGTTGGAAGTTTATATTATGAAAGTCCTATGTGTTTAAAAAGTAAGAGAGTTGAAATTTAAAATGTATGCGCTATAAATGCTAAGAGCGGACTTTACGAAACTCCACCCCTAATGGAGTAAAACGAGGTCCACGCGTACGAAGTCGCAGGCGGCCGCTAGTCTTATGTATAAGTACCTAACGGTTAGTGCTCCTGCACACGACGCCGCTACCGCGCCGCCGCCGCGCCGTCGCCGCGCCTTTGCACTGTTTCTACGCGCCGCATGAACACCGCCGCAGTGCCGCAGCCGCGCCGCCGCCGCATAAATTCGCCCGCGGCGTGGCCGCGGCAGCACTTAGGTACACAGACTAGAAAAAAAAACATAACCTGTGACTTGAGTATGTCCCATTTTCATAGGCATTAATTTGGTCCGCCTTTTGTATTAAATTTACCTGATATTTTATATTAAATTGTGCATTAACCCAAAATAAGCCCAGAGTCAAGAAAACGACCAAATGGCACCAATGATGAAATAATGGTACAAGTTCTCTTGCGATGCCTATAAAAGAAATTGTAAATATGCCAAATTACATAAAAATCTGAGATTTAAATAGTTCTGGGCATTAGGGGTTAAGCATGCAGACTTAAATAAATATTTGGTAAAGTCCTCTGTTAACAAAGGATTGATAAGAATTTTAACTAGGTACATAGAAGTTACATAATTTATATTTAGTTATTTAATTTTTAGCGTTAAGAGTCGCATCTCAAACTAATTTGAAAATTATAAATAACTTGAAAAAATCGAACTGCCTAAGCGGAAGGTCGTGGGTTCGATTCCCGCCTTAGGCAGTTCGATTTTTTCAAGTTATTTATAATTTTCAAATAATTTATATTGTTTGTTAATACATAATTTTGGTGTAAGTTTCGAAATAATAAACATGAGACCCATCAAAAAGCCACAAACTATACAAATCATAGGACAGTGGCGCCAACTAGTGAGCGCAGTCCAGTAGCTTTTCTTGCATGCGTAAAAGGTTTTAATTATTGTGTGAACTAAACAAAACCTCTTGATTAAAAAAATGTTAGAAAAAGGACTTTTTAACGTCATTGTGTAAATATTTTTATTATTTCACAGGTGATGACGGCAACGAAGCAGAAAAATTATTGCGCACACTAGCGCTCCAAGAGGTGATGTTGAACAACAACAGTGAGGAAATCTTCTACAAAGACATGGAGAGCGAAAGCATGGAGACCTTCGTAACTTATATCGGCAGGACTGAATAGTAAAATTATTATCTATACTTATAATAAATCTGTAGAGAGGTCAATTCTGTACATTAAATATATTTTCAAAATAACTATCAGGGGGTGATTAGTGATCGATACTGATGCCAAAAATGCAATCAGTAAAATTTTTGTCTGTCTGTCTGTCTGTCTGTCTGTCTGTCTGTCTGTATGTTCCTTATAGAAACAAAAACTACTCGACGGATTTTAACGAAACTTGGTACAATTATTCTTCATACTCCTGGGCAGGTTATAGGATACTTAGGAATTCCCACGGGAATGGGAATTAGCGGGAAAATCGTTTTGTATGAAAAATCTAAACCGCTTAAATAGAAAAAAAGATTGATTATTTTAGTTCCCAAAAAAAATATTCATTTTTATCTTCAAAAGTACTAAACAGCGCCATCTGTTATAAAATAGGAGAACTACGTAATAAGAAACATTTTGCTCTTTAAAACGTATGTACATTTTAGTTAGTTATAATTTGGATAGATAGCGCTGTGCGTAGTAATTGATACATCTACTCGACACTAGATGGCGCTAAATAAGATTGAAAATATTATGTCTTTAGTGTTACTACTCACCAATAGATGTCGCTGTACGTGTAACCTTTAACAACTTTTACTGTTTTTTTTTACCAAAAGATTTTCACTAATAGTCGTTCACCCATCCAATGACAACCACAACATAAATGTTTAGCTTTGGTATGATGTGCTGATACGGGCCTACCGATAATAAAAAAATATCCTACCTACCCTTTCATGGCAGGACAGTAATTTTCAGGATACAAACAAGATAACCAAAATACCTACTACGTTTAGTATTATTTTTATCGCAGAAAGGTTAGATGCTACTAATAGCTATTATAAAAAATATAAAATATAGGTACAGTAATAAAGTATCGTGTGACCACATTTTAATAATACGATCTGATGTCGCTGTTTTATAATAGAATCTAGATTTTCTTTGTATGTCTGGACTAGATGATAAAATATTCAGTTCGCTCGTAGGTACCTATAGGACTATAGGATGTCAATGATCCTGGTGTCAGTATACCTACTTAATGATCCACTGGTATCGCCCTTTTAGTGGTTAGTAGCACGCTATTATCCCGTGAAGTGCTCCATATAGTGACTAAAAATTCAAGAAATTATGCAGTTTCCCATCACCCGCGTCCCACCTCAAACCATTTTCGAGAAACCAAGCGTTGATATTTGCAAAAAATGGTCCATTTTGTATTATTCTTGCTTGCGAGCTTTTTGTTATTAAAAATACAAATTACCTACTTTATTAATTATTATTATCACCGTAACATGATATAGATCTTGACGCCACATACATAACTGAGCAACAATTAACATAGTAATGTGTTGCGTAACTAGAAGCAATAGACCAGGAGCGCATAGGATTCGAAGAATGTGTACAATTCTAGGGCCTTTTAATAGAAATACGATAGGTACTAGCATTATAGGTGACGAGAGAATGAGAACATCAAATGAGTCATAAATCGTCTACAATAAACAGATTGTATAAAAAACCGAACAAGTTTAAGGCTGAGTTGCGAAAAATGCGACTTCGTACGCGTGGATCCCGTTTTAACCCCTTAGGGGTGGAGTTTCGTAAAATCCTTTCTTAGCGGATGCCTACGTTATATCATCTACATGCATGCCTTTCAGCCCGATCCGTCCAGTGGTTTTGGCTGTGCGTTGATAAATTACTATGTCAGTCAGTCACAGTTATAGATTTACTCGTAGATATCACGTTTGTATGGTTCGACTTAATTTTTATTTAAAAAATAAAACTCAATTATTTACTCAATTAATAAAACTTTAAACATCTACTACTTACACCCCTTGAGTTAAGTGGGGAATCCCTAAAAAAATACGTCTCTTTCATGAAAACCCAGACTAAGCTTTCGGTCCTAAAAAGCTGATTTCTTTCAGAGGTTTCTTTGCAAAGCTAATCCCAACTAATATTATAAATGCGAAAGTAACTCTGTCTGTCTGTCTGTCTGTCTGTCTGTCTGTCTGTCTGTCTGTCTGTTACGCTTTCCCGCTTAAACCTCGCAACCGATTTTGATGAAATTTGGCATAGAGATAGTTTGAGTCCCGGGAAAGAACATAGGATAGTTTTTATCCCGGTTTTTGAAACAGGGACGCGCGCGATAAAGTTTTTCTGTGACAGACAAAATTCCACGCGGGCGAAGCCGCGGGCGGAAAGCTAGTAAGAAATAAAGAAGGTTATTTTCAAATTAAACTCCTGAATAGGGTGGCAAAGTTTGTATTTAACATTTTGTGGTCAGATTTAGTTGAAACTTTTAATAATCTTTGACAAAATCGAGCACCTTTTTCAGCATTTAAAATCATTCAGTATTATGTATATCTAAAGATCGAACATAAACATAGTGCAGAGACTGCAGAATGGCATCCTAAGAACCATCTCAAATGCACCATGGTCCATTACCAATACTGAAATCCATGTTGTGAGCATGAGAACTGTTAGGGAGGAGCTAAAGCTGACAGGGAATAAATACAAAACGCGACTGGAAAATCACCCAAATCAGTTGGCTACTGCGTTGGCAACCATCAGCTACACCAAACAACTGAAGCGCCACGATATACTTGGTGACAGATAGTGAATGAAGAGTATCCTGCTGGGGAGCTCCTTGAACATGTTAAAACTGCATGGAACAAATCTGCTTATAGTTTGGGACTGATTGCATAATTATGAAAAAAATATAATTATCTAAAGATGTGATATGGGTTTACCCCATCTCTTGTTCCCACCACTGCAACTCCTGTTAACAGGATCTACGAAGAAACTTGTATTCAATATTTTGGACGTCGGATTTCAAACTCCTCCTATCATATGTTCATCTGATTAATTTCGTTGCGGGTCCAATGACAGTTTAACTTTCTCCCGGGACAAATTTGACCATCATTGGTTGGGTTATTGGCGGTCAAGCTGTAGATCCTGGCTACACAGGAGTTGCAGCGGTGGGAGCTAGAGGAGGGAAAAGTACTGAATCGGATGTACCTATGATAATTATGACACTTAGATTGTTCTCAGTTAGGTCCATTGCCGGGTTGAATCAACCTGATTGTCCGATAAGATGGATCATTATGGAATATTGTTATCGGGCATTGCATTGTGCATTTAAAAATGCGTAATCATTAGTAGAGTTTTCCTTTTTTCTTCTATGAAACAAAACTTTCGTCAGACATTGTAACTGACACCAAACTTGATGATTCACAAGGAACAAGCTTATAGAGTTAGTCACTCAGTGTGATATTTGTTGTCTTATTTCCAGTAGAGAGCCTTATTGACGCCTTTAGTAACTTATAGTCAATCAAACCAGTGGATAACACAATATTGAACGCATAGAAAATTCTTATTTGAATGAACTTACAAACATAAATGTTTACTCTACAAAATCATCATAAATGCTATAATATTTTCAGTCAAGCCTCATAGTTGTATTGTCTATAACGACAAGTGGAGTGGAATGCCTCTACAATGTTTTGAAAAAAATTAAATTTGGTTACACAACAATTGGATGGTGTCATGTAATACTTATATTCAAGTAACCAGTTTCTAACATATTCTGGCTTTTATTCTTTGCATTCAGATATTTTTTATTTTGACTACTTTGGTATTCTTTAACTTTGTTACTGGTGGTTTTCTCTCTCGTTCTTATCACTGCTTCATTCAATAAAGCCTAGATCCTCTAGGATCTTGGTTAGATCTTAACGTAGATCTTTACCTTGAAAATGGAAAAAATTAAGGATTTTCTGTTCGGTTTGATTGGTGGTAGGGCTTGTTCTAAATCCGCCATCATCCATCAACCATCTTAACTAAGTCTGTCGCCATAACAACAATGTTAACAGCATTGTTGTGTTCCGGCAGTTAGAGGTAAGATAGCCAGTTCCTCCGTGGTTGAGGATTCCGAATGAAGCTCGCCTCCACCTTCGGCCTGATCATCATTTACCATCAGGTGAGATAAAGGCCAAGAGCTTCCTCGTTGTGGATAAAAAAAATATCAGCCTGTCCCTTGCACGAAATGGGTGACAGTGAACCCATTTTTTAAATATTGAACTTTATTTCCGTCACAAATCCATCTTCAAAACGTCATCTAAGAGGCTATTTGGCAAGCGCTCATAACTTATGATGGACTTAGCGTTGCATAACGCGGGCCAAATCCGCCGATGGCATGAATCGAGTTACATAACTGTTCTCATTTCTGTCCGCCATTCTATTTTCTAGCCATTCCGCAAAATTATCAACTCGTGCGCAGCGATTTTTATAACACTTCCCCGGAAGGTAGTTCTGGTAAACTTGTGGGTCACAATGTCACAAAACTAGTGACAACTTTTGGAGTGAGTTATAGACTGGGACGTCTTCAATAAATACTAGGGGGGCTCTGGACATTTATTAAATGCCTAGGTCCCATTCTTATGAAGGGTCCCATTCTTATGAAGGGTTCCATTTCACAAATTGTCCAATGGAAAAGTGGAACCTGAATAACAAAACTTAAAAGTGTAGCTCAATTGTACTTCTCAAAATGCTCTCGAAGTATAGAATAAATTTAATTTTAGTTTTTATTAATTTCCGCAGAACATCGCGGAATTTTCCACACAAAACTTACATAGTTTTGTGTATGATGAATAATTTAAAAGTAACAAACTACTCGGCCAAAGTAAATCAGTGTGTTAGCAGTTCAAATACATTAATTAATCAGTATTATTTAATTCAATGACTAATGTAAAGTATTGTTCGAAAATTGGGTTCAATCGGACTGCATTTTGAATAATGTCAAGGTCGTTTATTTATATAAATTAGATCATGAAAATATGAAGATCCACAAGTCCACAAGGTGGACCGACGACCTCATAAAGGTACAAGAAGGCGCTGGATACAGGCCGCCACCAACCGGCCATTGTGGAAATCATTGGGGGAGGCCTATGTTCAGCAGT